GCCAATTGATTTTGTCGCGCATTACACCCTAGCGCGACTAAAATTGTCGTCGCGCAAGTATGAAACACTGTTTGTTTCCTGCTATTTATTATGCGCGACGTACTATTTTTTTGTCGCGCTAAACATCATAGTGCGACGAATACGTCATCGTCGCGCAAATAGTTGTCGCGCAAACGTGTTCATTTATACCATTTGAATATTTTGTCCCATTTCTAGATCTCTGAATATTTGTTATTTGCGATTTTTGGGGTATACAATCTCACAGTATATACAAACACGTTTAACGGTTGGATCGTTGAAATTAGTTTTGTAGAGTTGAATGAACACTTTTTAGTTTCAAAACATATGGAGGTTGATAACCCTACAAAAAGATTCGTACGTAAATTGATAACCCTGAAATTTATTCGTATGGAGGTTGATAACCATACAAAAAGATTCTCCTCTACCATTCCCATAATTAAAAGGGTATGAATGATGATCTTCACTAAAATCAAATAGTGTTTTGTCGCGCAAAGATGTCATTTGCGACGAGTTTAGTCGTCGCGCAAGAATTAGGCGCCAGAATATTTGTTCGCAGTTTTTTCCCCTTGTTTACGCGACGGTCGTTTTTTCTGTCGCGCAAAACAATGTTGCGCGACGAAATGTATTGGTCGCTCTATTTTGCGCTACACATATAATGGTCCGTCGCGCGATGATCTTTTATACGACGAAATTTCTTCGTCGCTCTATTTTGCGCTACGCATATGATTTTCCGTCGCGCCGTCGCTCTTGGTTGCGCTACGCATATGATTATCCGTCGCGCGATGATCTTTTATGCGACGATTTGTCCTTCGTCGCGCAAACTATCGTCGCGCAAATAGAAAAATGGAGTAGTGTATCGTTCTTGCTCTTGCGTTGTGTTCTTGCTTGATTCGATCTTAGATTGTGGGAAGGAAGGCTGCTTAGCTTGTTCGAGAGGCAATCAAGTCTAAGGCCGCACGAAAGGAAGACTCCGAAAAAGTCATCCCGTGACAGTAGGCAACCTAAAGTTACCAGGTGCAGCCACGAGACCAAGTGTTTGAAAAGTGGTTCAGTTAAGTCATTTTGAAACCTATGAATGTATTCGTGTTGTATCTTTGAATCTGTTGCTGCTGGCAGAACATTTTATTTGTTTACGAGAGGCCTGAGGCCGTTTAATTGTAGTTGGTTTGTCTGGATGAAAGTTGAATACATGTTGGCAGTTGTGATATACATATATATGCTTATTTGACATGTAAATTTTTGGGAAATGGGCAATTTACAGGGGAGACTCTGCCGGATTTCCGGCAGAAGTCAAACTTGAAATAAGTTCGATTTTAGTTAGAAGGGCAGTTTGGTCATTTGTGCCCGGCACCCACTAGTTGTCGAACACACAGAGGGTTCAGCTTGGATTCTAAAGTGGAATTTTCCCAATATTTTTTGGATTTTTCCTGCAATTTTGACGACTTTTGCAAAAAAAGAAAGAATAAAGTATTCAAGAAATGCCAAGTGTCGATGTTGGAGTGGGGAGTTGCAAACTTCAGTGACGTGCGACACATTCCCATGCCACCACACACCACCTAACCCAATTTTTTATTCATTTTCACTTAAATATTCATTTAAAAATCGAATTTAAGGGTTTAGGGGTTGGGCGCCTAGGGTTTAGAGTGTGGGGTTTACTGTGGAGGGTTTAGGGTATAAAAATGTAAAAAAAAAGTCCCCACAGTAATGCTCTTCTTTCCTGCTCATGGATTAGGGTTAAAAATTAAAAAATTCCTAGAAAAATCGAATTTCCCGCTCACGGATTGTTAGGACCAAAAAATGCCCTAAAATCGCAATTCAAACTTCAAACTCCATATCTAATTAGACCAAAAAATAAAATACAATTCCTTTTCAGAATTGAAGGAAAATAATTTTGGGGTTTTTAGCAAATATTTGGAATGGTTGAATTCTTCTGTCTTTTTCATTTTCACGTTTAGGCAAAGCGATGTCGATTTCTTTAAAAAAAACATTAAAGCAAGGAGTTGTCAGCATTGCAATGCTAAGATGATGATGCTAATTTCCAAATCCAAAAGGAATCTGGGCGGACAATATCTAAGATGATGATGCTAATTTCCAAATCCAAAAGGAATCTGGGCGGACAATATTGGAAGTGCTTCACAACATATGTAAGTATTATCTTCCCAAAACTCATATGTAAAACCTAATAAGCTGTATGTAATCAACAATAATTGAGATTGGGCATTGTTGAGGCCCAAAAAAGTCACGGTTCGGCCCAAATAAATTCTTGGCCTAATGCAATACCTTACCGAGAAGAAACCCAATTTGGGCATGCGAAAGTTCGTCATATGCGCTTGCACACATGCCACGCCAAGAAAATAAGCAACATGCCACGCTACAAGCTTAAGTGGGCCCAATCCACGCAAGATGCCTGGGGCTTGCTTAAGTGGGTTGTGGTATGGATGGTAATAAGTTGACATGAGGCCCATTGATGGGCCAAGAAATGGAAGTCCCGGGGTTGCTTGGGAGCCTCGGAACTCAGGCCCATTTCTTAGGCCCAAACATGTGGGTGAGCACAAAAAAGAAAATATCCCAACCAAAATATCCTAACCAAAATAGCCCAACAAAAATAGCCTATTGACTCAACCAAAAAAGCCCAATGCTTGATAGAGATAGCCCACTTACTCAATAAACCAACTTGTCCCATACAATTACAATAGAAGAGCTGCAAAGCTCCAGCACCTGGCTAAAGAACAAAGCCACGAAGGGAAGTCTAGAGGTCCATTATGTAGAGTTGCTAGGAAAGTTCCAGCACATGGGAGGAACAAGTTTCAAGTAAAAACTTCCAAAGGACCAAGGGATATTGGAACGCAGTCACCGTTTGAACCAGCATGCATTCCCATTCTCTTTCCCTCATCAGACCTGGCCATAAAAAAAGGAAGAAAGGAAAGGAAGGAGATTGCTGAAAATGGGAGTTCTGAGGTAGCTGCGGGAAAGGGCCTTTAGCTCCCAAAAATCCCTGATTTTGTGCAAATAGACTGAGGAAATTTCACCAAGATGGGAAAAGACAAGGGAGGAGAGAAGAAAGGAAGGGAAAGACTTGGCCAAATTGGATAGAAGCCATTAGGGTTTCTTGAAAAAGGTAGCTTCCAGCGCCTATAAAAAGAGGCATTTCCTACCCATCATCACAACACATATTCGGAGAGCAAGCTTCCTCTCTTGCATGCAAAACCCAGCAATTTCGTGCTCCATTCTCCCTTCTCTCCCATTTTCCCTCTTCTGGCAGACTGTTCTCACATTTGACAGAACCTCTGTCTAGCTGCCAGAAGAACACTCAAGACACCCATTTCTTTCTCTCCCTCCTTTCTCAGCCAAATCTTCTTGCAAACCTTCCCTTTCTTACCTTAACACTCCCCTTTTCCCCCAAGTACGCATAATTTTCTCTTTTGTGCTAAACTCATGTCGATTTTGCTCCCATGCCACAAGCTTCTCATGCTAAGCCAAGAATTTATCTGTAAGCAGCCATTATTTTCGTTGGTGAAGGTAACCAAGGTGTTTCCTAAGGCTTTACAACCCTTTCGAAACATTTTGGGGTCTGATCTTTGAACTCAGACACAAGGGGGATATTTTCTTCAATTTTCTCCTTACGGCAACCCATGCCCGCAGTAGCTGCCGAAAGAAAAAGACCCTTACAGGCATTAACATGTAAAACACTAATCCAGATCGGGCATTAACACTAACTGAGATAGGGCATTACCTAAGACAACAAAAAGTGCTCCAGACTAAAAGAATATGCTCTTACATTGTAATCCCAAACTGAAAGATGTAATTTTTTATGTTTTTTTTGGGAGTTACAAGGTGTAGTGGCTATGAATGGGTGATTGTAGCCAACAGGCGAACTGAATCTCACATTCAAAACCAGTTGGATGTGAAGGAACTTAATGCATATGCTGAAGTAATCCGTATAGTGAAGGGCATTAAAAATATCCTCGTACTGTTGTTAGTTTTATTATTTTTGAATTTGGCAGTTAAATTGATGAAAAAGTAAGAAATGTTTTGCATCTGTGGAAATCTTTTGACTTTTCAAGTATATGTTTTGTAAATTTGTAATCCGAACAACTATGAGAAATTCAGAAGTGGTTGGCAATCTACAAAAATGAATTTAGTAGTGAAAGTTTATTATTCGTAACCCAGTCAGCTGTGTATGGTACTCTTAATTTTTCAACATTTCATATGCCTGCATCTTAACTTCACAATTGTGTTTGTCCTAAACAAGATACATTCGTATTTATTCCATTTTGTTTATGCGTTTTGCCTTTATCCATTTCATGTAAACATATTTCTTTTCATGCACCATTTGGGGTTTAGGGTTCAGCATAGTATCAACAATATGTGTTGAGGGTTTCATACAGCTTGTATTTGAACAGAATAGAAAACCCTTTTCAATTCAACAACTGTTACCTACATAATTACAAACCACCCACCCAGTTAAAACTTTGCAAGTTCATATACTACACCCACCCAGTTAAAAACTTTGCAAGTTCATATTGTCTATACTACACTTACACATCTACCAATATCCCTGCAACAACTGTAAAGCAAGCTTCAGCCGAAAGAAGGACATAGCGTCATGGGAAATTTTGGCTAGGTCAACATTTGAGGTTAGAAACTTGCAGTATTTCAGGATGTACATCCCACAGTCGCCCCTAAAACATAGTGAAGAAGCTATGATTCATTGTACAACAAATCCATTTAATAAGACAATGTGTTTAGGTGGAATATGACTCACCCGCCAACTTGTTAGGGTGCATCCATTATGCGATTAATTGACCACTCACTTTTTCGAATAAGACCATCGCTAATATATCCCGCTTCCTCTAACAACCGGGGTAGCATTTTCGCAACTAGCTGCACTGCCCGTTGGATGGCTTGGGTTTTACATAGATCTGTTTTCAAATCATATGCCCTTATCTCACACTCTTTTAAATTGACAACAAGTAAGATCCAGTGCTTCTGCCTTTGTAGGTTGAAGGGCATAAAAACGTGATTCACAGATGACCAAGATTTAGCCAACTTCGGCCCTTTCGCCCTTGACCATTCCCAGTAGACCCTTGTTGTGCTTTTTGTCCTCGTTTCCCATATACACTTTCATTTGCATGTAATCTAAGGCATCACATTTCTGCATAGTGGCACACGAGTTATGCATCATAATGGATACCAAATTTACCAAATAACAATGCATAATTATGAAATAATACAAACCTGAAAAGTGGTGTACAGTATCATCCAATCAGAATCCACCCACTTACCAGAGCTATTGTGCCGCTCTCGTAGAAAAAGTAAGGCCACGTCAATGTTCTACATAAAAGGGTTGTTTCCATTATTAAATTAATAAATTACTACATTGACAGGACCCAACCCAAATTCCACTTTGGAATCCAAGCCGAATCCTGTGTGTGTCCAACACTTGGCGGGTGCCAGGCACAAATGACCAAATTGCCCTTCTAACTAAAATCCAAACTTATTTCCAGTTTGACTTCTGCCGGAAATCCGGCAGAGTCTCCCTTGTAAATTGCTCATTTCCCAAAACTTTTACCTGTCAAATAAACATATCTATATCTATCCCAATTGCCAGCATGCATTCCCAAAACTTTCATCTCCCTTGTAAATTGCTCATTTCCCAAAACTTTTACCTGTCAAATAAACATATCTATATCTATCCCAATTGCCAGCATGCATTCAATTTTCATCCAGACAAACCAACTACAATTAAACAGCCTCAGGCCTCTCGTATACAAATAAAATGTCCTGCCAACAGCACCGGATTCAAAGACACAACACGAATATATTCATAGGTTTCAAAATAACTTAACTTAACACCAAGTCAACCCAAGCCGCATTCCTCGCAGGCCTCAGGGAACCATTAGTCAGCCTGAGCCGTAATCCTCGCACCACACGGTTCAGGCGTCCTCGAAACTCGTAGGGCATTATCAGAAATAACCACATTGTTTCAAGGCCACTAGGAGTACTCCTAGGGTGGTTTGAAAAACCATATCCGAAACTTATCACAGACTTTCCCTTTATTCCACAAATCTATTTTCCGACCTTTATATCAACTTTCCAATAAATTGATTCTCAACTGCACTTAAAATATATCTACCATATTATGATAAAAACCAAGGTTCATGATTCATCTTCTTTAAACCACTGAACATATAGATTTATATACATATATAAATATTAAATACACACATGTACACAGATATTTAATTAAATTATTATTCACATCGAAATCCGATTATCTAATAACTCATAAACATTAAGTCATCCCAAAACACTCAGTCAAATACTTTTATAATCATCATAATATTACTAATAATAGGTAATTAAATAACTGAATAAGTCGATTACTCCTAGAGATCCCGTCACCTCTAATAACGCACGATCTTCAAATATTAGAAACAACATCCGGAAATATCCTAAAATATTCTAATAACATCAACATCCATCCATAATCAAACAATTCATATTTAATGCATAATAATTCAATCGGTGACAACAAAGCACTAACAACACAAAGTTCACTCACAAAAGCATAAATTCCATAAAGACCCCAAAATAATTCAAATAACGGTCAAGGCTCGTTTACAAGATCATTCTAATTCTTCTTGAAGGGTGAAACTATCTCGGAAGACCCACGGTCAACTGATAGGTCAAACTACCCAATCTTGGTCAAACTATCTATCCAAGAGTTCCTATAGGTTCTACACATTTTAATAACCATATCTTCCAAGTTTAGTCCAAATCGAACGGTCGGATTAATCACGATCGCTCAATCAGACGGTTATCGTTTAATGAAACTTTGAAATATTGAATCGGAATATCCGGGACTCCGATTTACGATCCGCGAAATGCTATACGATCCTAGGAGTGCCTAGATCAACATATATCAAATTGGAAGCGATCCAACGGTTCTAACATATCAAACCTGGATAACACACATTAGGTGAAATTCGTACAATAGTCAAACGATATCCGAATTGGAATCCGAAAAAACCTACACGCTCGTGAGAACCAGGAGATCATTTTAGGACAAATTGTAGCTCCACCACACTGCCCACGCGCTGGTAGTGCGTGGGTGGTTTGATAAATTTTCAGTGGTCGGAAAAACTCCAAACCACCTGCCAAGCTTCCTACCCTAGGTGTAAAACCTCATCTGGAGTCACTTTTGTTCTTGGACCTACCCCGAAAAATGGCCAGAAGTGGCCGGAATATCATCCCGAAATCCGGCCAACCTTTGAATCCAAAATCGAACTATCAACGCTAGAAATTGATCAAATCCTACCCAACCATCGACTAGAGCTTGAAAAATAGGTGAGAATCCATACCTCACTCATCAGATTTGGAGGGAGAGCGACGGCCGGGAATTTTCTTTCAAAACCGGCGATTCCGAGCTCATTTTCAGGCGGGTCTGGTGGCGAGTGACAACAGGGTGAGGCGGGGAGGGTGCGGCAGGTCAAGCTAGTCTGGTCTGGCGCTGGCCAGCGTCGATGGTGGTGGTTATGGAGGTTTGGAGGTGGTGGCTGGAGAAGAAAAATAAAAAGGGA